CCCACAAGGCCGACAGCTGCCACCCTATTGGCAAGTGGGACAGCTGGTGCCACCAGCAGCACAGTGGGAGGACGTGAGCACTGGTGCTTTCAGAGGACCAGGAATCTGCAGGAACCGCACACATCCGCTGGAGAGGGCTAAAGGCAGAGGTGCAGACAGCCTGGGCATGGCCAGCCAGCACCTGTGGGAGGGGCAAGGGACTGGGAATCACCTGGGACAGGGATGGGGTGTCCAGGCATGTCCCCTGGCTGCTGCCACTGTAGGTCTTGGACAGGAGCCAGGCACGGTCCTGCCTGGCCTTGCCTGCCCCAGCGCCCTGGCCGTCCTCCTGCCAGCTGCCTGCTCCAGCCAGGGACAGTCTCCTCTTGGAGTGAGGCTCCTGCCAGAGCTGCTGGCCAGCCTGTGCTGTGCCATGCTGCACCGCGCTGAACATGCCTGCCCCGGCACGTGAGTGGGCTCAGACGCACAGCAGCTCTCATGCTGCAAGTGGAAAGGGCTTGGGAAGGACGGGCTGGCCCTGAGCGAACACTGGGCATGGGAGCCAGAGAGCAGCCCAGGTCCTTGCCACTGTCCAGGAAACCTCAGGAATGTCCTGTCCAGGCACGTGCAGGGCCCTGAGCCACCTCCCAGCCCGTGGCACAGCTGGCACTGTCGACAGGGCGTTCGAGAGCCCTGTGGGGCTGAAACCTGAGGGCTCCCCGCACTCCCCTGGCCTCGGCCCCATGCTTCAGTGCAGAGGGCAGCCCTGCACAGCAAGCAGGAGCCACAGCACTGCTTGACCTGCTCCCACACCAGCCCCACCGGCTCTGCCTGTCCCAGCGGACAATGGGGGCTCCTGTGCCCCCCCCCAGGACAGAACCACCCTGGCAGGGCCTGCAGCCCTCCAGGCCAGATGCTGTCCCCACCATCACTCCGCTCCCCCAACTGCGTCTTGCACAGGGGCTTGCGCATCCCAGAGGGGCTCAGCTGTGCCGGTGGGGGAGAGCAGTGCTGACAAGGGGTGCCGGGAGCCCGGGGGGCGCTGCTGGCTCCCAAGGACTGTTCAAATCTGATGTGCCATTCGGCACTCATCGGGCACTCAGGGTGACATCGGTCCGCCCCAGCGGAACCCCGGTGAATGGCAAACAGACCCCGGGAAGCTCCTGATGAACCAGGCCCCCTGGTAAGTCAGCATGTTTGATTGGCTTGTGTTAGAGCAGCCAAGCTCAGGGCATCCTTGTGGCACAGGGACGACATCCCAGGCCGCAGCAGCAGGGAAGGGCCAGGCCATGGCAAGTGCTGCGGGAACATGCTCTCTCACCAGCAGCCTTGGACACACGCACAGGGACATGGAGCAACCCAGGCACTGACAACTGGAAGGACTCAAAGAGCAGCACAAGCGACTGAAGAACTGGGAAATCTGCCAGCACAAGGAGGAAGAAGTTCCTTCTGTTTATCCTTCCTTGGGAAGGTTAAGGGATGACACGGTCACACTCTGCCGAGGCCCACACCAGGACATCCCTGAGAGCATGGGGTCACGTCCCCAGCACTAGGGGCAGGAGAAGGTCTGGTGGGTCCCATGGCTTCAGGTGCTGGGCTCCATCCCTCCCCTTCTCCCCAGTGCCCCAGCACACACAGCCCAGTGCTGGCTCTTTCGCAATCCTGGCTGCGTGGATGGGCCTGCTTTGCTCTTCCTGCTTCCCAGCAGTCCTGGGGTGCTGGGAGTGTGTGTACACAAGTTGGGGGAGCCCTGACACCCTCACCCTGCTCGGGCCGGGACCAACCAGTTCCCTGCCTGCAGGCACCCCATGGGATCAGAGCTCCAGGGTGAGCACAGCCAAGGCCTGGAAGGCAGCAGGGCTCCGTAGCTGAGCTGGTCCCAGAAGCACCGGGGAGCAGACCAGGGCCACCACAGGAGCCTGGCCACCCTGGCAGGCTTGTTGACACCTCCCAACACCACCCACCTCCCACTGGCTAGGAGCTCACTGCCCCTCACTGCCCAGAAGGCAGGGTGCCTGTCCATGCTGTCTTGCTGCGTGCCCCCCTCCTGGGCAGTGACAGGGACACTGCTGTGGACAGCACACCCCGGCTCCCGGAGCTGTCCGGGGTGTCAGCTGGGGCAAAGCACTGAGTGCACATTGGGGCTGTGCTTCCCTTCCCCTGCTGACTCTGGGTCAAGCCCCACTGGGTTACCTGATGTCCCCCTGTCCTGCTGTCACCCTCTAAGCCAGGGCAGGTCACAGTACAGCTCTTTGCAGTTCCTAACACCACTAAGTTTCCCCAGGACACAGAAAGGCCCTCGGCTCTGCCAGGGGCTTGCCTGCTCTGCTCTGGGCTCCCCTGGGCTCTGGAGGGGCAGCCCTGGGAGGAACCAGATGCAGGCAGAAGGGAAAAACCCCAGAGGAATGTGCAGATGCTGCAGCCATCAGCCACATGGTCTCTACAGCCTAGACAGGCTGAGCAGCAGGCGGCGGGGCTTGGGG